AAGCACAACATGGGTGCACCCATGGGTGTACCTACATGCAGGCAATACGCTCATATACATAAAATTAAAAATAATAAAAATATTTTTTAAAAAGCTTAAATCCCAATTTCAAAATTTGACCCCTAACAAATATTGGAACTATAGTCAAGCCTCTATATTTGCAGTTTCTACACTTAGAGATGCAACCAACGCTGATCAAAATATGCCGGGAAGCCGGGCATGATGGTACATCTGTAATCACAGCTCTCAGGAGACGGAGGCAGGAGGATGGAGAATTTAAGGCCAGTCTGTGCTTATATACTGTGAGCTCTAGACCAGCCTGGATATGTAAAGGGATGATGTCACAAGCATACAAATATGCTGAATCATTGTTCCCTAGATAATACAGTGTAACTCTTTACCTAGTACTTCCTGTTATTACATATAACTATCCTAGAGATGATTCAAAACACATGGGAGGATGCATGTGGGCTGTATGGAAATACCCTGCTTTTAAGAGATTTGCACATCCTTGGACTGTGGTAATTGTGGGGTTCCTGGAATCAATCTCCCTGGGATCCTAAAGGAAAGCTGTACTTGGTTTCAAAATCTGTTCATAATTATCATCAAAGCAGTGTGAAGCCAACAACAGTTCCCTTCATCTTCTTGCCCTTACAGACGCATGGCTTCCGGCTGGGAAGACTACTTTCCAGGCCACCCCGTCACGTGCTGCCTACCCTCTTTTCCCACACCTCTCATACCACTGTACCTACAAGTGCTCTTATAACATGTTTCCAGAACATGTTCTTCTTCCTCGTCCCTAAAAGACACTTCAATCTTATAAAATCAGACTCTTATCAGTTACTCTTGTTCTGTGTGTTCGTTATCTACCACTGGCTGGTAGGTATTGGTTCTCTGTCCTTCCTCGAATACTTCAGGGGCTGGTCTACTGTCACTCTCTAATACTACTATCCATCTTTGGCCTTTTTGACATGTATATAAATACCTCTCCCAAGAATGCACTCTTTCTGTCCTCTGGTTTCCCTCCTAATAATCTTGTCCTCTACACATCCACCATCATTCACATCCATGATCATGACCCGCCTTGTCATTACCATAGTGCCAAAGCCCCTATAATCATAATTACCTTTGGATTTCTTCCTTGTACATGCGATATTTCTTTTGTGTATGAGCGTTTTGCCTGCAGGCATGTATGTGCACTATATGCATGCAGTGCTTAGGGAGGCCAGAAGAAGGCATTAGATTCCCTGGAGCTGAAGTTATAGGTGGTTGTTAGCTGCCTGATGTGGATGTTGGGAACTGAACCTGGAGCCTCTGCAAGAGCAGTAAGTGCTCTTAACTGCTGAGCCATCTCTCCAGTCCCAACACCTCTTATATTGCAACTTTTGCCCTTTGGTACTCCAATTAGGAAAACTCTCTGCTCCCAAAGCCTACAACTCACTGACCTTAACACGTCTTCACTGTTCCTCATCCCACACAACTCCATTTCTTGCATGTCTGCTATAATCACTCCTGGCCTATGCCCTCATCTTCTCTGTCCTCTCACCTAACTCATCCCACTTGGCCAAATCAGAGTCATCTCAGCTTCCTCAGAGTCTGTACCCCACACAGCTGACCTTCATGGGAGAAAAACCACACCAAATATGAAAATCAGTCTCAATTTCTTTTTAAAACTATTTATTATTTTTTATTTTATGTGTATGATGTATTGCCTGCATGTATATAAGTGCATCTGTATCACACAATGCCCACAGAGGTCAGAAGAGGGAGTCAGATCCCCTGGAACTGGAGTTATGAATGGTTGTTAGTTGCCATGTGGGTGCTGGGAACCAAACCCAGGTCCTCTGCAAGAGCAGCCAGTGCTCTAACCGCTGTGCAATCTCTCCAGTTCCTAGTCTCACTTTCAATTCAAGGTCATTAACCTCAAGGTGTCAAAATGTTACTGGCATGATACATTTCCTGAGAACACTCATCTCCTGTCTTCTAAATGGCTCAATGACTGTCCCTCCTCAAACCTTTAACACCATTCCTCTATCTTCTCTTTCCTATGAGAATCTTGTGTTGTTTCACTGAGAAAACAAAGCCATTTGGACAGAATTTCTACAAACTCTCACCATAGTGTCTACCTGCAACTGGGGTTATATACTTTACCCTATAAAGGAACTTTCCAGAAAAGGCCAACCTCTCGGCCCCCTCACTCAAGTACATTGTTCTAGTAATTGTCCTCTTCTACATGTAGGCCTTTGGAGACATTCAACATTGAAACGATAGCACACGCCTTTCTGAAACCATATTAACAGCACTTTTCCTTCACTTGCTACCCATTTCTCTCTCTCTCTCTGAAAAAATTTTATTTATTATTTTTATTTTATGTGTATGCATGTATTGCCTGCATGTAGGTAAGTGCACCTGTGCCATGCACTGCCCGCAGAGGACAGAAGAGGCTGTCAGATCCCCTGGAACTAGAGTTACGGGTAGCCACCATGTGGGTGCTGGGAATCGAGCCCAGGTCCTCTGTAAGAGCAGTCAGTGCTCTTAACCACTGAGCCATCTCTCCAGGCACCCCCATTTCTCTCTTAACAATTATATTATTATTACTATTACTATTTTATTATTATTAAGACTGCTTTGTTAAGCTGGGCATGGTGGTGCATGCCTAAAAAGCTTTGTTTTCTCAGTACACTCATTTTTTGGACAAGGTCTTGCTATGTAGCCCAGGTTGACCTCAGATTCCATAATATAGCCCATGCTGGCCCCAACCTTGCAATTCTGCTTGAGCCTCCTGATGGCTGCAATTATATGTATGTATTACCATATCTGGCCAATCGCATCACTTGCGTTATCTATGCTTTCTATTATTTCATCTACCCCGGCCCACATCCCCGTTGAGAAGAATGACATCATTTGACCTACAATTTAACAGAATCATGTTGGCTTGCTCAGCTGAGAACAGACTACAGTAGCTAGACATTGCTGGCTCACACCGGTTATCCTAGCACTCAAGGGACTGAGGCAGGGAAATTGCAAGTTTGAAGAGCCAAACACTGTTGGGCATGGGGAGAAAGACTAAAAAACAAGAACAATGGAAGGACAGAGACAAGTTAGGCGACTATAGCAAGTAATTCCCGTGAGAGATAATGGCTCAACATGGACGAGAAGCAGTGTTACTAGCGGAAAGTGTCTGCCTTTGGAGATATTTTGAAGGGAGAACGAAAAGAAGTCCCTGAGGGAAGAAGAGCTTGAGCAACCAAGGCAAGGACGTTTGTAAGCATTTCCTAGTCGGTTTGCTTATTTCTATACTTGTTCTATTCCATTTATTCTCAACAGCCAGAGTGTGATCCTGCTACAAGAGCCAGATCATGTCACTCTCTTGTTGTTGTTGTTGGCATATGAAAATTTATTACTACTGTGTTTCCATTATCAACATTTAGGACCTTGGTCTTTCATTCCTGCCCTTGTACAGGGCCAAAAGAGACACACTGGCAACTTTAACAACCTTAAAGCAGACTCCAGGAATATTACCAACCGAATGACCTTTCCAACCAAATCCAGCAACCAGAATATCATCATTTTCATCAATGAAGTTCAGGCAACCGCCTTTGGGCACAAAGGCTGTGATTTTCTTGCCATTCTTGATGAGCTGGACCCTGACACACTTCCTGATAGTCTAAGTTGGCTGTTTAGCTTCAACCCCTACTTTTTCCAGAATGAGTCCCTTGTCATGAGAAGCACCTCCGAACAGGTTGGTTTTAAGGGCTGCTCCCAAATGTGCTTTCTTGTACTGTTTATCATGCCACTTCTAGTCCTGTCAGTGACTACGGAGCTTCCTGGCAGTACACAGACCAGGACACTTGCCCATGCTGCCAGTGCTGCAGACCCAAGAGAAAACAATCATGTCACTCTTACGCTCCCCAACTTCACTCTGCTTGAGATGTTTGCCTTTGAGACAGATATTATGTAACCACATGAATGTATTAAATAGGGAATCAGATGTGAAAGTCAAGTTCAAGCATTAGGTCTGGATGTACATAGTCTGGCAAACAGATGGTCTTTTAAGCCACAAGACAGGATGAGATCACCAAAGTAGAATGTGTAGAGAGAAGAGGGAAGAGGCCCAAGACTAAGCCCTATGGTACCCAATGTTAATAGGTACTTAATAAAAATTTATTGATGAGCTGGGCATGGTGGCACACACCTTTAATCCCAGCACTCGGGAGGCAGAGGCAGGCGATCTCTGTGAGTTCAAGGCCAGCCTGGTCTACATAGTGAGTTCCAGGACAGCTGGGACTACAGGGAGACCCTGTCTGAAAAAGACCAAAAAAAAAATTTATTGATGAATGAATGATATTTTGGGCAGTGACTAGAACTAAGTTGGTGTTTATCTTACATCTTAGGGAGTAGAATGCCAGAAAGAGGGAATAGTATGTACAAGTCCACACATTAAGAATGTATTTAGGGGGCTGGAGCGATGGCTCAGCAGTTAAGAGCTCTGGCTGCTCTTGCAGAAGACCTGGGTTTGAATCCCAGCACCCATATCGTGGCTAAAAACTCTCTGAAACTCCAGTTCCAAGGGAACCAATGCCCTCTTCTGTCCTCCATGAGCATTGCTTGACATGGGTGCACTTACATACATGCACACATAACACTCATACACATAGAATAAAAATAAATAAATACATACATAAATTGTCTAAAAAGAATGTATTTAGGACTGGGGAGATAACTCAGTGCTTAAGAGCATTTGCTAATTTTCCAGAGGACTGGAGTTTGGTTCTAAGCACCCACATCTGGTGGCTCACAACTGCTTGAAACTCCAGCTCCGGGGGATCTGACTTCTTTTTCTGGTCTCCATGGGCACCCACACACACGTACACACACAATACACACATATACACACTCAATCTTTTTTTTTTTTTTTTTTTTATCTTTTTGAGACGCGGTCTCCTTGTAGCCCCAGCTGTTCTGGAACTCACTATGTAGACCAGGCTGGCCTCAAACTCACAGAGATCTGCCTGCCTCTGTTTCCTGAGTGCTGGGATTAAAGGCATGCACCACCACGCCTGGCCAACACACTCAATCTTTTAAAAAGACCAATTTTAAAAAGCACGTGTTTAATTTATTCCAAGGAAGTTAGTGAACTGACTGAATAAGTTTCACATAGGATGAATGCAATTAGATGAGGTCAAGAGGGATTACCAGAGGGATGCAAGACTCTGCAGGCTATTTGTTTAGCCCAAGTAAGAGGGGGATTCCATGCACGGCTTTGAGAGGTGACATGGTTGGTTACCCAGAAAAGTTTCAGCAGAAAAGAAAGTTAACATTTGCTTGTTTTGAATAGCAGAAAGGTATTTAAGGAAAGGAAGTAAACACCAATTCACCTGGTACATGGTTTTAAGAAGTCCAACAGCCATTCCTTCTTCCTCCTGGCTCTTCTCTTAAGAAGCAGCAATGACCTCAGATGTTCCTCCTGGCTCTTCTCTTAAGAAGCAGCGATGACCTCAGATGACTGAGATGGGAAAAAAAGAACATGACAAACTAAACTTTTCTTGCGGCACTCAGAATTACATACCACTCGACTTTTTAGGCTTTTTCCTCCTATTGTAAGCTTCCCTCCAATTTAAAAAAAAAAGCATCATGGAGAGCTAACGCTTTGCATACAATTTAACCCATGCCTAAATAACTTCCCTATTACTTTAGCAGATTTGCGGAGTTTACAAAGACTCTGAGGAATGCACTCATTTATATAAAGATGCACACTAATAAATAAAGCACTAAGGGCAAACAAAGGTCTGCTTAACTCCCCCATCCTTCTGTTGATCAGTGATTCTGAAACTTGGCAGTAGACTCTCATTACTTGGCTAGCTTTGAAAAGACCCAGGGTGACAGTCACCCTCACATATCCAAACCCTCAAAGACTACAGTGTCAACCACTGCCACACACATGTCACAGTTAAAGGCCCTCGGGAACTAGTCTCACACGTTCAGCCTGTCCCACGCCCCCCAGCCTCAAACACTCTGGGGCCGCAGACTGGCACCACACGGTCTGACTCTGTATGCTCCCAGCCACTGTCTCCCACACGGTGTCACCCAGGGGACCTGTGGACCGGTGTCCCGTAGACCGCCCCCCCAGGCCACACCCCCGCCCGGTCCTCACCTGATGAACTCAACTCCCGGGACTCCCCGTCTCTGCCCGGAAGGCTCTGGACTCGCCCCAACTCCGGCTTCACCCTCTGTCCTGAGGTAGACGCAACCCAGCTTCAGGGGGCCCGGAAAGAAGCGCCTCAGTTGCCTGGGGCCCCCAGAGGACACAAAGGGGAGGTGGCCCCGTTCCCGCGAGGGCCTTTGGGAAATGTAGTCCTGGCAGAAAAGGCCGCAGCGCTGCGGAGGCCGCGCCCACTGGCTTTCCAGCACGAATCCTGAGAGTTCCGATTCTGCCATGACTGGATCCGCTACAGTGGCTAGGCTGAGAGCTGTACCGATCTAGAATAGAAATGCGTAGGCACAAGGGCTCCGCCACCTCCTTTAGCAATCTGGGCCGGCAGCTTGGCGCCGCGGATAAACCGCAAAGGGAGAGATGTGAGTCTGGACCAGAATGTGAGTCTGGGCCAGAATGAGTGAATGAAGAGTTCCCCAAATTACGTTGGAATACATGGAAAAAGTGGGGAGCGAGAAGTTAAGGTGCGCAGGCGCATTAAACCTCCGCACAATCCTGTCCCGTCCCCCCCACCTCCCCCGCCCCATTGGGATTTTTCAAATGCATACCTGACCTTTTGATTTTGTCATGTATATGTGTTTCTCTGAGTGTAACTGTGGAAAAGTTGAGACACACTACATTTCCGTGAGCACGTGTGTGATTGTCATGGTGTGATATTTTTGATGCTAATTGTGAGAATGTGCTATGATAGGAACAGATTTGTGGAGAGTGCAGTAGGAATGTGTGTGACACCATGACCTTGAGGATTAGACTCATGAATGCCTGTTTGGGTATGGACTTCTGCCCTGTATTTGACTAGAAGCCAGCTAATATGTACAAAATGCTATTTGAGGTGCTGGGGTAGAAAGAAAAATAAAATTTAAAAATAATGATTAGAAAGCCAGGCGTGGTGACACACACCTTTAATCCCAGCACTTGGGAGGCGGAGGCAGAGGCAGGCGATCTCTGTGAGTTCAAGGCCAGCCTGGTCTACATAGTGAGTTCCAGTGTTGTACCTCATCCACTGGACCCCAAAAAGACCACCGAGGGCCCAACACACCAAAATGCAAAAGCAAAGGTTTATACACCAGGACAGCTGGAGCTACAGGGAGATCCTGTCTCAAAAAGACCAAAAAAAAAAAAAAAAATAGTGACTAGGGTTGGGCATGGTGGTGCACACCTTTAATCCCAATACTGCAGAGGCAGATGGATCTCTGGTGAGTTCGAGGCCAGCCTGGCCTGCCTAGTGAGTTCCAGGCTAGCTGAGGCTGCAGGGAGACCCTTGCCTCAAAACAACAACAACAACAACAAAAAAAAAAAAACAAAAAAACAAAAAAAAAAGGAGCCTGATGCTTGACATTTATTTTAAGGATAAGAGTGGACCAGGACGCTGAGCACCCATTCCTTCAGATGTCTCACAGTGCTGTGTTCTGGAGCCAGTCTTTGCTCATTCTTTCATTGAAACAGCAACTCCATCAAGAACTGGGGGAAGTAGAAGCTAGGATCCACCTTTATCAAAGACTCCTGCCCTTTGATCCCTAGGCCCTGAATATCACACACACAAATTCAGACTTCTCAATTTTTATCACTGGTTTCAATGAGAAAACCACACTGCTTCTAGTGTTTTGACATGTTAATCATGCACACTCATGTTCATTCGCTATCTTGGGTGGAGGGTAAGGTGGGGTCCTGAGGAATTAAGATCAGGTGTTGAGGTCACAAGAGGAGCACGTGGCTCAGTGAGCATGTTTATAACTTTTTGATTTTAAATTTAGGTAAAAGTCATTATCTTCTGCCCTCCATGGACATTGCATAAATATGGGTGCACTTACACACATGCAGGCAATACACTCATACACATAAGATAAATAAAAAATATTTTTTTTTAAAAAAAGGATGATACCCACTATGCCACTATGCCCTGGGTATAAGAATGTCAGGGACCACACTCTTTTTCGACAGGGTCTTCAAGCAGCACCAGCTGGTGTAGAACTTTTGATGCACATCAGGTTGACCTGGATCTCAAAGAGATCTTCCTGCCTCTGCCTATTGAGTAAGGTCTATACTCTTTAAAATTTTTTATTTATTATTTTTATTTTATATGTATGAATGTTTTGCCTGCATGTATGTAAGTGCACCTGGGTCATGCCATACCAATGGAAGCCAGGAGCAGACGTTGGATCCCCTGGAATTAGAGTTATGAACTCCTTGTTAGTTGCCATGTGGGTGCTGGGAACTGAACCCAGGTCCTCTGGAAGAGCAGCCAGTGTGCTTAACCGTGGAGCTACCTCTCCAGCCCTGGGACCATACTCTAAAGAGATGGGTCACTATATGCCACAAATTTCAAACATATTAAATGTTGTTAGGTTCTGAAAAACAAGCAGGCAGTTTTGGTAGTACTTTAAAAAATGAGGAAACACACCTGACACAAAGCTTTGAGATATGTACTGCCTTATTTCTTCAGAAAAGTAGGAGCTGAGGTAGGATTATGAGATACTAGAACTTCCTTGTAGCTCTGTCAAAGACCAAGTTGGATGATATGCTCCAATTCATCCATCTGCATTAAAGGAATGATAAATTAAAACAATTTTATCTTTTATTGTGAAAGAGCAGTCAGAAGCTAGGTGTTGTGGCACATGCCTTTAATCCCAGCACTTGGGAGGCAGAGGCAGGCAGATCTCTTGTGAGTTCAAGGCCAGCCTGGTCTACAAAGGGAGTTCCAGGCCAGCTGGGGCTACAGGGAGACCTTGTCTCAAAAAGACCAAAAAGAGAGAGAGGAGAGAGAGAGAGAGAGAGAGAGAGAGAAGAAAAGAAAGAAAGAAAGAAAGGAAGAGTCTCTACTTTGTGGAACTTAATTCTTCCTTCCTCAGGTTCAGAGTAAGATATGGATGGAAGAGTACTTTAGAGGTGCTATAGGCTCTAAATTACTTTTGTCTCAGGTAGGGGTTTCGGTGCAACACGGGGTTGGGGAAAATGTGGACACTGTTGATTTGTTTAGGTCTGCATCTTAAAGAGCTGGCTTTATGTGATGCCTAAAGTCAAAACCTGACCTATCTAAACTTTTGACCAAGTATGTAAAATATGGTCTCCATAAACTTCCACACTCGTACAAGCTGAATTTTATATGAATTAACTGTTTCAGTGCATGCTCACTTTGAGGAAGCTAGCTATGATTACATCTTTGTTAAGAGCACTCAAACCAAAGGCACAGAGTTCGAGGTCATTATTAGTAAATGGTTCCATCTGCTTAAGATGTAGTCTACAGACAATACTTGCCTATTAATCAATCATACAACCCCAGATCATGAGTCCAGTAACACTGTCAGTCAAAATCGAGGCGTCCACAAAGTATACTGTCTGATAAAACTGGTGATACGGAATGAAAAAATCTTGAGAACATACAGTGCATCTGTGGTCACACACACATGGTTGTAAATTCACATTTTTTTTTCTTTTTTGGAAAAATTTTAAAGATTTATTTAATGTGTATGAGTGTTTTGCCTACTTGTATATAAGTGTACCGTGTGCATTCGGTGTTTGTGAATGACAAGAGAGTGAATTTTTCTGAAACTGGTTGATGGCCAACATGTGGATGCCTCATGAAAGAGCAGTAAGTACTCTTAACCACCGAGCCATTTCTTCAGTCCCAAATTTGCAATCTTATTTTTTATTTTATAAAATTTTATTTATATTTTATGTGTATAAGCATATTGCGTGCATGTATGTGAGTGCACCCGTGCCTTGCCATGCAAGGATGGTAAGAAGAGGGCTTCGGATTCCCCTGGAACTGGAGTTAAGGACCATTTGTAGCCGCAATGTGGGTGGTGCTGGGAATCGAACCCTGGTCCTCTGCAAAAGCAGTCAGTGCTCTTAACCGCTGAGCCATCTCTCCATTTCCCGAAATTTGCCATCTTAAAAGTCACTAGACTCCAGGGTCTCTCAACTCCATAAACTCCAGACCCCAAGTCTGTGGCCTGTCTCCCACACACTTATTCATGTATGTCACTCCTCTCTCCTGTGACTGATGCCAAGTGTTTCGAGCCCCAGTTCGACCAGGCCTCCAGGAAGCCCTCAGCTCTCTTCACCCTCACCCCAAAAGAGGTAAACAGTCGTAATGGGAGCCCCGTTCTAACGGAACTAAACCAACTCAGCCTAGTTTCCTTTCCAGACAACACAGTGTACCTGAGCACCCCAGAAGAACGAAAGACCGTTTTTCATTGGCGAAGAGTACGAGTCTCGGACGCGCGAAGGCCTCTGGGAAATGTAGTCTGGCGCAAGAAAGCGGCGGACCTGTTTAGATTCTTCTTCGTACCAACTTGCACTCCAAGGCTGCGAATGGCAGGCGGCAGGGAGGCGGCTCCTGCAGAACCCTCAGAGCCCGCAGAGCCCGCAGAACCCTAGGCCGATCCTCCCGCGGGAGCGGTGCCCTCACCGGAGTAGCCGGCATCCTCACAGTCCATCACAGGAAGGCCAAGCCCTCCTGGTGAGCCGCGGGGCCCTCTGGGAAGTGCTACCCTGCGGCTAACGGACCCAGGTTGATGAAGCTCCGCCGCCAGCCATCCTTGACCTCGCAGCGCCTGGTCGTAACCGTCGAGGGCTGTGCCGGTTGTGGGGCGTTGGGGTGTGGAATCCGGGCCTGTGCCCGCGGGCTTGGTGGTGAGTCCTCGGGAAGCCGCGAGCCCCGCGCCTTGGGCTCTTTGTGCTGGTGGGAGTGGGGCCCTGCAGACCCCGCTGGGGTGTGGATGGAGGAGCGGCGCCGAGCAGGGCGATGCCGAAGGTTCCCTGAGGCCCTGGCCGTGGCTCGAGATGGGACTGTAATTGGCGCTTTCTCCGTGTTTCATTATGAACATGGGTGCGAATGTGCATGACTGAGATAAGTGGATGGATGGATGGATGAATGAGAGGTAACGCGATGCATGGAAGGTGGTTGTGTGTAGGTGTGTGGATGGAGACTGTGTTTGAACGAGTGCTGCATTTCATCCTTTATGATAATTGGAAATATGCTTGAATATTTTCATGTATTAGCAGGTTGTATACATGCGAAATTCTTTCTCCTTGCTCCATTCCATTTCCCAAATAGCTAAATACAGAAAATCTAAAAAATAAAAATCACTTATCATTCAACCAGCCATGCAGCCACTGTCATATTTGATAATCATCTTTACACTGTTTGTGAATACATACATATGCATTTATATGCTCTTACATAGATGCATAATGGCTTAAAATTGCAATCACACTATATATAGACTTCTGTAAACCTTATTTAACAATACATGATTAACATATTTATATGAATAATTACAAACTTGTTTCATCAGTTAAATTTTTCTTGGTATACATATTAATGCATTTATCTCTGTTGGATAATTTGTGTCTTTTCAACTTATTGACATTATACTGTATTTATGAGGAACTATTTAAATCCACTTTTCTCCCCCGCCCCCACTTGTGGGTAGGCTCTTAGAAGTGGTACTGATGGGTTAAAAAGTATGTCCTTACTAAAGGCTTCCCAAATCTAAACATTTATTCCCAGAGTAAGATTCTAATAGCTTATAATATTATATTAATAGCTATAATATTATAGGCTGTTATAGACCTTGTATCTATACATCCTTGATAACAGTGAATCTCATAAATGATAGTAGTCTTTGTTAACTTCATAGTTATATTAATACTACCAAAATCAAGCATAAAAAAAACTTTTATGAATTGTTTTCTAAAGTAGTGTTCTATGTTCAACTTTCTTTTCCAGAGTTCTTCCTGTGTTAAGGATCCATTCATTTATAGACTCAACAGTTACTGAACACTGGACGTGTGTGTAATAGGCCCAAATTTAGGTGCTTGGGAAATAGCAGTGGACGAAAGAAGCAGCCTTCTCCTCTCCACAACTATCATGGTACTTACATTGTGGTGGGCCAGATAAAAAAAACAAGGTAAGTAAATTAAATATGAAATACATTAAATGGTGAAAAATTTTAAATGGAAGAGTATTTAGAATTAGAGATGGGAAGTAGTGTTTTAGATGGGTCAGCCAGGAAAGGCATATTGAAAAGGAGCATAAAGGTACAAAGAAAGAAAAGAAGCTGGTTATGCATGTCACTGAGAAAAGATTGTTTAATACTGAGAGTACGGAGTTGTAAAGGTCTTGGGGCAGCAACATGCGTGAAGGTGAAAAGGCTGAAATAGAAGTGAGGGGAGCTGAGAGAAGCAAGCTGAGTGGAGCGGAGGAGAGCAGGGCACGTAGGGCCTTGTAGTCCACATAGCTTTGACTTTGAGATGGGAAGTTGTTGAAGAGTTCTGAACACCGGAATATATATATATATATATAGATAGATAGATAGATAGATAGATATAGATAGATAAAATATATCTTTTTAATGACAGCTTGGACTGCTCTGGTTACAGTGACCTACCAGAGAAGGATTGAAGAAAGGGCAGGGAGAAGGCAAAGGAAGGAGTAGAAAAACTAAATAGGAAACTGTTATGATAATCCAGGGAAAAGATGTTGGCAGTCTGGGCCACAGTAGTCAAAATGATGAATCATGTACTCAGTACAATTTTAGAATAGAGTTGCCATAGTTTGCAGAAAGAATTGATGTGGAATGTGAGTTTAACAAGATAACATGGTGTTTCTTTGATTAATTTAAGAATGCAGTGATTGCTGTAATCCCAGCACTTGGGAGGCAGAGGCAGGCTGATCTCTGTGAGTTCAAGTCCAGCCTGGTCTACATAGTGAGTTCCAGGACAGCTGGGGCTACAGAAATACCCTGTCTCAAAAAGATCAGAAAAAAAAAAAAATGCAGTGATTGAGAATGGAAAGAATTGAGAAAGTCTTTCTTGAGGCAGTAGACTTCAGTTTAGATGTAGTGTGTGAAGGGTTGTATGCTCACTGGACATTCAAATGGATATATATGAATGTGTGTGACATTCAAGAGAGCTATAAGACCTAGGATGGAGAATTATCAGCATGTAAATGATGTCTAAAGCTAGAAGAGTGAACAAGATCATGTAAAATAGAAAAAAATAGAGGTGAAGAACTGATTTGGGGGTTACCCTAACATTCCGAAGCCCAAGGAATAATGGAAAATCAATAAAAGTGGCCGAAAGAGACTAGCTCAAATAGAAGAAGTCAGAGAAGACTAGGTAAATGAGCTATCCTAGAGTCAAGAAAGAGTATCTTTTCATGAAAACTGTGTCAGATACTACAGATAGCACAATAAAATGAAGTCCGAGAAAGAAACATTGAGTCGAGCAACAAAATTCACTGGTGACCCTGAAAGCAATTTCAGTGGAAAATGGAGCCAAGGAGAACTGGAGAAGAAAAACTGGATAGATATCAAGTCCTTACAGCTCTTAAAGTTTTTCTGGGCTGGAGAGACGGCTCAGTGGTTAAGAGCACTGGCTGTTCTTACAGAAGACCCCGATTAAATTCCCAGCACCCACATGGCGCCCAACAACTGTCTGTAACTCCAGTTCCAAGGGCTCTGATGCCCTCTTCTGACCTCCACAGGCACTGCACTATACAGGTGCACTTACATGCAGGCAAAACACTCATACACATAAAAAAAAATATTAAAAGACAGTCTTTCTTTAAAAAGAATGGTGGCTGAATTTAAGAGGTACACTGTAGCTTTATGAATGAATGAAAGGATCCAGTGGAGGAAGAAACTTGATGATACAGAAAGGAAAAGAGAAATAATGTATGTTCTTAAGTATCCAGAGCACATAGGAGCTAATGGCAGGTATGCCTTAGCTCGGAGCATGATCACACCATGGGAGAGGAAGAGGAGGAAGTAACAGCACAGAAACAGGCAGATTCACAGATGTGCTCGGGAACTTTCTCTAATGGCTCCTTCAGCTTTATAGTGACCAGGTGACAAGAAATTCAACTGAGAGTTTGGAAAAAGTATTTGAGGTTTGAGGAGAAAGAACAAAAACAGAAAACCTCCGAGGATAGTCATGTAGGAGAGTGGACTACAGCGTAGGCAAATACCTATTTTAAGGCAGCATTTGAAGTGAGCTAATTCTGTGTAAATGGGTGATTTTCCTCCTGCAGTGTCCATGTGTGCCCATGTAGCCACAGACAGGATAGGGGAAGACTGACATAACCAGAGTGTTGGTTTTGGGAAGCAAGCGGGGATAATGAGAGAGAGGCGAAGGGAGTCTTAAAATGTTTAGATTGTCTTTTCTGATGGTGGATTTTGAACTGAGCAAACTAGTGGAAGCAGGAAGGCCGTGAAAGAATGAAAGTTGGTAGAGTCATGGAGGGGCCGAAGTAAGGTGAGAAGAAAGGCTACTTTTCACTTTCCCTGGTTTGGATGTTTTATAAATAGAAGTAGTGGTGGCACACGCCTTTAATCTCAGCACTTGGGAGGCAGAGGCAGGCAGAGGGGACCAGGATTCAATTCCCAGCACCCATGTGGCAGCTAACAACCTTCTGTAACTCCAGTTCCAAGGGATCCAACGCCCTCTTCTGATCTCCCTGGGCATTGCACAACACGGTGCACTCACACACATGCAGGCAATACATTCATACACATAAAAATAATAAATTTTTTAAAAATGGGTGTGGTGGTATACCCTTAAAATCCCAGCACTCCAGAGTTGGAGGCATCATTTGCTACATATTATCCTCAGCTACCCGGAGTTGGAGGCCAGCTGGGATACAGGAGACCTCAAAACCAAAAAAGTCCTCAAAATCAGCAGCAACCACCTATCTACAGATCAGGGAGTTGGGTGTGGCCCTTGGAGTTTATAGGACATCCTTCCTATAGACTCAGAAATCCTGGGGGTCTGGTTGGTTTTCTGGCATGCCATTTCCTCCTTCATACCCAGGTTTTCAGGTGGAGATGGAGGGAGAGTTTCTGCAAGGCGTCTAGAGCTGCGGGGAGCCCTAGAGTGCCAGGTGAGGATGGAGGCCCAGGACCTGGGCCCAGGACCCCCTGGCCCTGCGCTGCCTGCACTACACAAAGGTGGCAGAGCTCTCTGAAGGGGACCCAGAGGAGTCCTCAAGTGGAGAGGATCTCTAGTCCAGCTTCAGACTTGGGCTTGTAGAAGAGACTGAGCCAGAAGCAACCGTTGTGGCTGAAGCTGCTTACTTAGCTGCCATGATGCTGGCACTCCTCACTTGCTTTTGGAACAAGTCTCCTCTTGCTCCTCCTTCCGCCAGGCTCTTGTAAACCTGGGCAGGGGCAGGGCCCTTCTGGAAATGGGCCTCTAGTTCGCAGTCCTGCTTCCAGCTGAGTAACTGGTGGGCTTGAGGACACAGGGCCCAGGAGCTCAGGGAACGCGGAGGTTTTTCCATCTTGGCTGCAGCTCAGTTGCAGTGTTTTCAAAAATTAGGCTCTTGGGGCTGGAGAGATGGCTCAGAGGTTAAGAGCACTGACTGCTCTTGCAGAGGACCCGGAACTGCCTATAACTCCAGTTCCAGGGATTCTGACATCCTCTTCTGACCTCCTCTAGTACTGCATGACACGGGTGCATTTACACACATGCAGGGGATAACACTCACACATAATAAAATATTTAAAAATTAGGTTCTTGCCCGGCATGGTGACGCATGCCTTTAATCCTAGCTACCAGGAGGCAGAGGCAGGCAGATCTCTGTGAGTTCAAGGCCAGCCTGGTCTACATAGTTTCAGGACAGCTGGGACTATAGGGAGATCCTATCTCAAAAAGGAAAAAAAAAAAGCTCTTATACAGCTTTTGTTTGGATTATTCCTGGAGTCTAGGAGTTTGGGTCACTTTTGTGAATTGTGTATAAATAAAAATGGCATACAATGACTCACCTTCTATGTAGTATTCATTTGAGCAAAACCTTTGACTTTCTTAAGAGTTCCTGTTAGGTTGATTTGGACAGGCATCACCAGCTTCATCCATTCCTAGTCAGGGATGGACTCCCAGAGTTTCCTATTCTTCCATTGCTGCTAATGTTGCTCCCATCTCTTTATTTTTACTTATTTATTTATTTATTTAGTCTTTTTTGAGACACGGTCTCCCTGTAGCCCCAGCTGGCCTGGAACTCATTATGTAGACCAGGCTGGCCTTGAACTCAGAGATCCACCTACCTGTGCCCCTTGAGTGCTGGAATTAAAGACATGAGCCATCATGCCTGGGGTCCATCACTTTATTTTTATCTAAGCTAAAAGTAGTTTTCTTCTGGACAGATACTTCTTTTTTTGGTGTTTCTGTTGACATGTATAATATTTGTATACCATATGCTCCAGGATTATCTCATAGTTTGGTTGTTTTCTTCTGTTTTTCGCTTTTTTTTTTTCATTTACATTTAGGAAGCCTCTGTTGACATATCTTAAAATCCACTTAAAAATTTTTAGCACCCTGTTTCTTTCCTATACTTTCTATTTCTTTGCTTACATTACCTATCTGTTCTCCATTTTTTTTTGTTAGAGACCTCAGCATATAATCATAGTGTTTTTAAACTCATTGCACATACTCTACAGCACCCTTTCATATATAAGTTGTTGTGCTAGGTCATGAAACATTAAGTCTCATGAGCAGTCCATGACATAAATGGTTCAAAGTCCTAGGGAGACTGACAAACCAATAGATACGTACTATTGCACAGTGATAAATGCTACAAGTGGGGTGCTTATGGGAGACAGGAGTATAAATAAATCTACATAGGCGGTTATCCCATTCAAGTAATAAAGTCATTTTGACTTAAGAACAGCAGACATTGATAAAGGAAAGATAGAGCTGCTCAGAAATGAAGAAATGGTTTCCAGGTGTGGGAAAAGATATACAGTCATTTAAGGAGTAAGTGCTGTGTGTATTTTGAGAAAGGCAGGCATATACTGCTACACGGCTGGAGTTTGACTTCAGGGTATCAAGGATAAGGCCAAGGAGGCATTTAGAAACAAAGGGAGTCAATGAAAGAATTAAGATTTATTTTATGTATATGTATGCGTGTGCACCACGTGCATGCCTGATGGCTATAGAGGCCAGAAGAGGGTGTCAGATCCACTGGAACTGGAGTTACAGGTGGTTGGGAGCTGTTCAGTGTGGGTGCTGGGGACCGAACCCAGGCCGCCTCTCTGAAGAGCAGCAAGTGCTCTTAACTGCTGAGCCACTTCTCCAGATAAAGTATAAAATTATTCATTAAATCCTGGATTTAAAAAAATGTTTTTAAAGGGTATCATTAAAATAATTAGGGAAATTTGAATATAAATTTTATGATTTTTACTAATGTTCAGTATGTTTGATATAATGACATTGTGTTTATGTAGGAGAATTTTGTTGTTTGAAACAGGGTCTCTCTGTAGCCCCAGCTGACCTGGAACTTGCTACGTAGACCTCCATCTCACAGAGACCCACCCCCCTCTGCCTCCTGATTGCTCAGTGCTGGGGTAAAAGGTGTGCACCTCCATGCCTGGCTGAATTTTAAGGTGCAAAAGCTGAAAGTTAGGAGTGAAGTTCATATTTGTATTTTAGGGAAGGAAAGAGAGCAAATGTTAGCTAAATGAAAGTAATCACTAGATATAGGTGCTTTTTACAAGTATTTGCATTAATCTCTCAGCATTTCTGTAGAGCTTTTTTTGTTTTGTTTTGTTTTGTTTTGTTTTGTTTTTGTCTTTTTTGAGACAGGGTCTCCCTGTAGCCCCAGCTGTCCTGGAACTTACTATGTAGACCAGGCTGGCCTCACAGAGATCCGCCTGCCTCTGCCTCCCGAGTGCTGGGATTAAAGGAGTGTGCCACCATGCCCAGCTCTGTAGAGCTTTTAAACAACAGCAACAAAAAGACAAAGAACAAAGAATGATAAAGGGGTCCATCCAGTAGGAGGATTTTTGTAAGTAGTTATATTTGCATCCAAGTCAGAGCACCTGGGTCCATAAATGAAACGTTGGCCTCAGTGGTTTCAATATTTTGGACTTCCTGGTGGATCCAAGAATGACTTAAATTTGCGAGTATAGATTTTTGATTTGTAGACAGCCTTTTCCAATGACTTCTGTTCTCTTTGCCAGCCCTGTCTGCTCATGCCCTGTCACTTCCTAAAAAGAGAAGGAAATGACCGAGTCCCAGGTAAGTATTAAATAGAGCCTCTGTCCTCTGCTCTAGTCTACAGAACAGTGTAAAGGTCTGTGCACATAAAACATTTTTTTCAGGAGAAATAGAGTTGGAAGATTAAAATTAAGAAAGAGTTAAAATATGGCTGTTTTATGAAATACATTCAGACAGATTAAGGTTGGGTCTCAAATTGTAGTTTCATTCTTTTAGGTAAACTAAAGCACAGCAGAATTGGTTATATCACTGTCATAGTTAGCTTCAGCTGTCAACCTGTCACAAACCTAAAGTCACCTGGGAAGAGGGAACATCAGCTGAAGAATTGGGAAAATCTCATCAACATGGAGTGAAAGAAGCTGGAAAAATATATGTACCAGATGACTCCATTTACATGAAGTTCAAGAACTGGCAGATTTTGTGATAGAAGTCGGAATAGTGATTTGGGTCTAGTAGCATATGGCTCTAATTTACCGAGCACTTGGGACATAGAGCAAGAGGAGCAGAAGTTCAAAGTCATCTGTGGCTGTAGCATGTCCAAGGCTAGCCTGGGTTACATGAGACCCTGTTCAACAGCAGCAAAGTCAGAGTAGTGGTTACGGCAGAGAAGGTGAAAGATTACCTGAGAGAGGGTGAGGTCACTTGGAGCGTTACATGCTCAATCTTTTGAAACATGTTGTAAGCTGTAAATTGTCAGGTTGTGTACTTAAGATCAACACAGTGTACAACATGAGTCTGCACAGCATCTATCAATTTAAAAGAGAAAACTGTCTGAGGAAAGACTTTTTTCAGTGCTGTGGCTTCAGTGCTAAGGCCTCGAGCATGCTAGGAAGGGCTCCATCACCGAGCCACACCCCTGGCTCCAATAGAGCCACATCCTCTTTTTCACTTTTTATTTTGAGACAGGGTCTCATTGAGTTGCCCAGGCTGGCCTTGAACTCAGTCTGTAGTCCAGGTACACCTTGAACTTGCACACACCTTGTGTCTTAGCCTCCTGAGTAACTGACATTACAGGCCTGACATTACAGGACTTGCTACACAAGTCCTACTTGGATATGTATCCTTCAACAGACCCTATGTGATTGTCCTTTTTCAAGACAATTTTATGGATCAAGCCACAGTTTAATAATTTGCATGTCCTACGTTAGCCTTGTACCTGCTGTATAGCTGAGAATGACTATGTATAGTTTGGGTTTCCGGTTTTTTGATATCCCCCCAACACTTTGGTCTTTTGAGACACGGTCTCCATATAGTCACAGCTGGTCTGGAACTCACTATGTAGTCCAGGCTTCCATCTCACAGAGTTCCACCTCCTGCCTCCCTAGTGCTGGAATTAGCCCTTCCAAATATGTATAGTTTTAATGAATAGTAATTGAAACTATAATCCTGTTTTGTTTTGTGTTTTTAAATGGGATTTTCATAAAAAATATGGGGAGTGGAGAGGTTGACAATGTCTAATAACCCCAGCTGGCCTAGAAACCAATCTCCATGTAGAACAGGCTGGCTTCAAACCCATGGAGACCTATATGCCTGCCTCTGCCTCCTGAAGTGCTGGGATTAAAGTCACGAGCCACTACACCCGGCTGTGTCTCTTAAGGTTTGCCTCATGTACACAGAGGTGATTTTTAAAGTGAATACACTGTGTAGCCATCACAAGAGCTAAGTCAAGAAATGGAATCATGGGTATGTAAGATGAGTCAGTGGGTAAAGACACCTGTTGCCATGCTCAAAGGCCTGAGTTCAGTACCCTGCCACCATATGGTAGACAGAGAGACCGACTCCCAGAAGTGGTCCTTCAGCCTCCATTTATGCACTGTGGTACACATGTGCCCATACATGTACAAACATAAATGTAACTTAAAATAATTCTTTTGGTGGTGGGGGCGGTGTTTGATACAGGGTCTCCCTGTAGCCCCAGCTGGCCTGGAACTTGCTATGTAGACCATGCCTCCAAGTGCTGAGACCAAAGGCTTGTGTTATTACAACCGGCTAAATAAATGCAATTAAAATTTTTTTAAAAAATAAGACATACAGGAGCTGGAGAGATGGCTTAGCGGTTAAGAGCACTGACTGCTCTTGCTTCGATTCCCAGCACCCACTTGGCGGCTACGAACCGTTCTTAACTCCAGTTCCAGGGCAATCCTGAGCCCTCTTCTGACCTCCACAGCATTGCATGACACGGGTGCACTCACATACATGCAGGCAATATACTCATACACATAAAATAAAAATAAAATATTAAAAAAAAAGAAATACAGTCTTACCCTAGCACCCCAGAAGAGACCCCTGTTCCTTTCTAGTCATTACCTCTGCTCCAAGGGGGAGCGCCACTGTTCAACTTCTATTCTAGAGCTTATCCCTGCCTATATTTTCATTTCATATAATCCATGTGATCCATATCTGGTTTTGTTTACTTAATATTATGTTAAATAATATTATGCTAAATTGTTACATACTAGTTGCAGCTCACTAATCTCAATGCTATACATTCAACTATGTGAATAAACTAGCTTTTGTTTATACATATTGTTGACAGGCATTTAATTGGTTTTTAGTTTTAGAAATTTATAAATAGTGTGAAATTTCTTGTAAATTTCTTTGCTTGCACACCTCTACATATTCCTTTGGATAGATATCAAAAGAACTACTCAGTCACAGGTTATATGTAAGGCCAGTTTTTCTAGAAAACTTTTTTCTAAAGTGATTGTTCAAAATTCCACTCTGTCTTGAGAGTTCCCAGTCACTCCAAAGTGACCTTGAGTGTATTTCTGTGTTTACAAGTTTGCGTTCTCAACACAATAGTAATTCATTGTTTGTAGAAGAGAAACTCAAACTGTGAGTACTTAAAAATCACATTCTTTTTGATGCACTTGCCTAATTAAATTAGTAACACTTGTCAATGAGCTAAAAGCTAGAATATTTCTAGGGACCTATCTGAGGTGGTGGGAACATATCTGAGAATGTATCTTTTTTGTTAAATTTCTATTTATATTTATTTTATGTGTATGCATGTATTACCTGCATGTAGGTAAGCACACCCGTATCATGCAATGCCCGTGGAGGACAGAAGAGGCTGTCAGGATCCCCTGAAACTGGAGCTACGGACAGTTGTTAGCTGCCTTGTGGGTGCTGAGATTTGAACCTGGGTCTTCTGCCAGAACAGTCAGTGTTCTTAACCGCTGAGCCATCTCTCCAACCTGAGAATGTATCTTACATGCTTAGTAAGCACAGTAACAATTTTACCAGGACAAACTTTTTTTTTCAGGCTTATTTGTGCGTGTGTGTGTGTGTGTGTGTGTGTGTGTGTGTGTGTGTGTATGTGTACACCTGTGCATGCACAGAGGCCAGAGAAAGCATTAGGTGTGCTCTTACCACTCTGTCTCTTCCTTTAAGGCAAGGTCTCCCCGAGTTGGTGCTCATGTTTTTTGACTAGTCTGGAGCAAGCAAGCTCCAGAAAATTCTTCTGTCTCCACCCCCTAACCCTTCAGAGCTGGGGTTACAGGCATGTGTAGAATGGCTGACTTGTTATTTGGGCGCTGGGATTGGAATGCTGGTCCTTGTGATTGCACAGTAAGCACTCTTAATTGCTGAGCCATCTCTCCAGTCCTAAGGGAGATTTTTATAACTGCATCAGTATCATTCCTGTTCTAGATCTGTTTAAATTATTGATCTTATGTTAGCTTAATTTGGGAAGATAATATGCACCTTATTATTTTAAAAATTCATCCTTTTTTAAAAAAGGTTTTTCCGCCAGCTGTGGTGGTGCACGCCTTTAATCCCAGCACTCGGGAGGCAGAGGCAGGCGGATCTCTGTGAGTTCAAGGAGAACCTGGTCTCCATAGTTACTTCCAGGCCAGCTGGGGCTACAGGGAGACCCTGTCTCAAAAAAAACAAAAAAACAAACAAACAAAAAAAGAAATAATTTTCCAATTTAGGGGAATATATGTTTTTAGGGATGTCCTAGAAATTTTCTTAATTTCATTAGAAATTATCTCTAATTGAGCTCTAATTTCATTAATTTATGTCTTTTTGTTAATTTTGCCAGTCTTACCTTTTCGAAGAATCAACTCTGTTTCATTGATTCTTTGCATTGTTATTTTCTGTTTCCTTTTCATTTATTTCTGCCCTGATCTTGTTTCTTTCTGTCGACTGATTTAGGGTTTGGTTTGTTTTTGTTTTCCAAGGCCCTAAGTTGTATCATTAAGTTATTTATTTGGGATCTCCCTGATTCCCCCACCCCACCCCCTTTCTGATACAGAGTCTCTCTGTAGCCCCAAACTGGCATGAAACTTACTATGTGGACCAGGCTGGCCTTAATCTTTCAGAGACCCACCTGCCTCAGCCTCTTAAGTGTCTGGGTTAAAGGTGTGCACCACCATGCTTAGAAGGCCTTTGTTTGTTTGCTCTCTGATTTCTTTCATTCTTTTTTTTTTTTTTTTTTTTTGTCCCCAGCTGTCATGGAACTTGCTATGTAGGTAGACCAGGCTAGCCTCTAACTCTCAAAGATCTGCCTACCTCTGCCTCCCAAGTGCTGGGATTAAAGATGTGCACCACCACGCACAGCTCTGCTCTCTGATTTCTTAATGTAGGCACTTAGAACTATAAACATTTCTGTTAGGTCTCTTTTCATTATATTCCATGTTTTGGTACATTGTGTTTTCATTTTCATTTGATCTTAGGATTTAATTTTTTTTTTTTTTTGATGAGTGTAGTAGTGCATGCCTTTAATCTCAGCACCCAGGAGGCAGAGGCAGGCAGATTTCTGTGAAAACAAGTGTAGCATGATCTACATAGTGAGTTCCAGGCCAGCTGGGGCTACCGGGAGACCCTGTCTCAAAACAGAAGCAAATAAACTGAAATTTTAAATAAATTTATTTAGTGTGCATGCATACGTGCTTGCACAGAGATCAGTGGACACCTCTGAGTCAGTTGTCTCTACCCATGTGCATCTGGGGATCAAACTCAGGTTGTCAGGCTTGGTGGCAACTGCCTTGGTGGCAATTGAGCCATCTCACCAGCCCTCAATTTATTTGATTTCTTCAATGAAATCATTCAGCTGATGGTGGTTAATTTTCATTGGTTTAGGGATGTTCTATAGTTTCTCTTGCTGTTAACTTGTAGTCTGATTCCATTGTACTCACAATAGGAATTCTTCTCACTTTCCCCTATTTGTTAAGACTTGCTTTGTGTCCTAACATAAGATTTTATGTTTTAAACATATGTTTTAGAGACAGTTCTGCGGGCGGCTGAGGAGTATAGCTATATTCTGCAGTGTTTGGGTGGAGCGTTCTGTGGATGTCTGTTAGGTCCTTTTGATCTATGATACCATTTAATTCAGATATTTCCCTGTTATTTTATAGTTTATTTTTTATTTTATGTGTATGAGAGTTTTGCATGCATGTGTGTAAGTGCATTCAATTTATTTATTTAATTTTAAGTGTATGAGTGTTTTACCTGCACGAGTGACCCACATGCATGTAGTGCCTATTGAGGATAGAAGAGGGCATTGGATCCCCTGGAACTGGAGTTACTGACGGTTGTTAGCTGCCATGTGGGTGCTGGGAAGTGAACACAAGTCCTCTGCAAGAGCAGTCAGTGCTCTTAACCACCAAGCCATCTCTGTAGCCCCTGTCGTTTGTTTTCTTGATGATAGCCATTCTTACTGGGATGAAAGGGAATCTCAGCAGCTTTTTTTTTAATTAAGTTTTATTTATGTGTATGACTGTTTTGCCTGCTTGTAAGTGCACCCTTGTCTTTCAATGACTGTGGAGACCAGGAGAGGACATTAGATCCCCTAGAACCAGTGTTAAGGACAGGTATTAGCTACCGTGTAGGTGCTAGGAACTGAACCCAGGGCCTCCACAAAAGCAGCCATCTGCTGAGCCATCTCTCCAGCCCCTAAGAGCAGTTTTAATCTGCATTTACCTGATGAGTAAGAACTTTGAACACTTTTTCAAATATTTATTGGTCATTTGTATTTTTTGAGAACTCTTTATTCAGTAGGCCATTTATTGACTGGATGATTTGCATTTTGGTGCTTAATTTGGATTCCTTTCTTCTTGGTATTAATCCCCTGTCTGATGTGAAGTTGGCAAAGATATTTTCCCATTCTGTGTGCTGATCTCTTCATTCTGGCAATTCTTTTCTCTGCTGTGAAGAAGCTTATTAAGTGGTGGCTAGCAACTGTCCATAACTCCAGTTCCATTGGATCCGATGCCCTCTTCTATCCTCAATAGGCATTGCATGCATGTGGGTCACTCGTGTGCAGGTAAAACACTCATACACTTAAATAAATCAAAACCCAGCACTCAGGAGGCAGAGGGAGGTGGATTTCTGTGAGTTCAGGGCCAACCTGGTCTACTTAGTGAGTTCCAGGCCAGCTGGGGCTACAGGAAAACCTTGTCTCAAAAGACCAAAAAGAAAAAAAGAGAAAATAATACCAAAGGTTTTTTATTTTTTAATATTTTTTTATTTTTTAGAAGAAGCATTTCATTACAGCTTTAACATGCTCAATAACAATTTCCAGAGCAAAGATACATGTCTTTCCAAAAGTGGCTATAAAATTTTTAGGTTCCAAAGTTTTTTTTAATGCCTTCTTCTTTCTGAATAATCCAAACAAGATTATGTTTTTTTCCATATCAGTTAAGATGGATAACTTTAGATTGAGTTTAAATGTTTTGTTACAGGAAACAGTGACATTCAAAGATGTGGCTATTGATTTCACTCCGGAAGAATGGAAGCAATTGGATCCTGCTCAGAGGAACCTGTACCGGAATGTAATGTTAGAAAATTATAACAACCTAATCACAGTGGGTAAGAGTGGTTTAATGGATGGTGCTAATTCTAGAAATAAAGTACCTTTTCTGAAGTAGATGGAAGTTTTAAATTTGGAGTGAGTCTGGCCTTGTGATGCCTTTCCTGATGTTCCTGTCCATGCTGCGGCTTTCACAGCAAACCCTTTCAGATTTCCAAATATTTCAGAGTACAGCATTCCCAGAGCCATGCTTTCACGTGCTTTAGAATGCCTGGCTCCCCTAGATCTGCCTCGATTCCTGGGCTGTGGTTGTGGCTGTGTGTATACCCACATCTGTGTCATTTCCCTCTGGCAGGCCCTCCACTCACCAAACCTGATGTGATTTTCAAGTTGGAGCAAGAAGAAGAGCCTTGTGTAGTGACGGAAGAAGTGTTAAAGAGACACTGCCCAGGTGAGCGAGGGGACCAGACAGGTGAGGGAAGAGAGGACCACTGAATGGTCTATCTGTACAGATGTTTTCCAAAGGTATTTTCCTAAAGCATGTAGACTTTTGTAGCGATAATTAGTGTGAGCTCTTTGAAACTAAGGTGTCATTTTTCTTTCTTTTTTTATTTTTGGAAATTACATTTATTTTGTGTGTGTTTGTATGTGAGGATGCATAAGGTCACAGGACAACTTGTGGAAATTGGTTCCCACCTTCCCCATGTGAGTCCTAGGGATTGAACTCAGGTCATCAGGCTTGGCAGCAGGCATCTTTTTACCTACTGAGCCATCTCATTGGCCCAAGATGTCTTTTTTCAATAGTGTTCATATGTATGTGTGTGTGTGTGTGTGTGTGTGTGTGTGTGTGTACGGGTATATATTTGTACACACATGGTGTAGCCATGCATGTGAGGCCAGAGGACAGCCTTGGGTGTCTTTAGACACCATCCACCTTGATTTTTGAGAGTCTCGCTGGTCTGGAACTCGCCAATTAAGCTAGGCTGCTTGGCCAGTGAGCCCCAGGGATCCTCCTGTCTCTGTCTCCCCATTGCTGGAATTACAAGTGTGGGCCTCCCCAACCCATTCAACACTATCAAGTTCTTTCCCCAGGCCTTCTTACCTAGGAGCTGGGTGTAACTTCTTCCTATTAATTCCCAGCCCTCGCTTCAGCAGCCGCTCCGTTACCATCTTTAGTGTCTCTGTCACCTTTATACAGAGCATGTACATTCACGGATTGTAGTTTTCAGGTGATCCTGTTAACAGTTATATCCTTGACTTTCTACCTTCTTTTCTTCTGTCTTAAATGCCTTCCCATCTCGTCTCACTTTCCACTGTTTTTAGCTTTTTCTTTTTCTTTTGTACTTTAATGACTACTACCTTTTCAATAAGAATAATTTTAGTGCCAATATCTTTAGGTTCCATTTTCCCCTTGTCATATATACGTATATCCATGTATGTGCTAAATGTGTATATAAATGCATCCATATGTATCCATACTCATAATTTACATATACACCTATACACGTAGTTCTAATTTGATAGTAATTTTTACTCTCCAAAGAAATTGTTATTCTACTAAGAATTACTGCAAGTAGTCTTTTGCATTAAAAACATCATTGCGGGACTGGAGAGATGGCTCAGCAATTAAGAGCACTGGCTCTTCTTGCAGAGTACCTGGGTTCAATTCTCAGTACCCACCTGGTGGCTAACAACTGTCCATAACTCCAGTTCCAGGGGATCTGACGCCCTCGTCTGACCTCCAGGGGCATTGCAGGACACGGGTGCACTTACATACATTCAGGCAATATCTCATACATATAAAAAAAAAAAATCATTGCCAGTAGGGCCAGGCATGGGGGTGCACACCTTTAACCCCAGCACTCAGGAGGCAGAGGCAGGTGGATCTTTGTGAGTTCAAGGCCAGCCTCGTCTACATAGTGAGTTCCAGGCCAGCTGGAGCTACAGGGAGACCCTGTCTCAAAAAGAACCCCCCCCAAAATGATTGTCAGTATATCAAACAAAAAACAATTAATTGTAGTTTGTTTTGTTGTTTGGTTCTTTTGAGATACGGTCTTGCTATGTAGCCCAGACTGGCCTCAAACTCAGGATTATAGGCATATAATCACCCTTAGCAACCATCCCTCTTGTACTAATTATAGTTTGAATTTTCATTTTCTTTATTTTGAGTGAAGGCAAGTATCTTTTCAAATGTTAAAAAAGATATTTTAGGGGCTGGAGAGATGGCTCAGTGGTTAAGAGCACTGACTGCTCTTACAGAGGACCCGAGTTCGATTCCCAGCACCCACATGGCGGCTATGAACCATCCTTAACTCCAGTTCCAGGGGAATCCAAAGCCCTCTTCTGACCTCTGCGGCATTGCGTGACACGGGTGCACTCATATACATTCAGGCAATACACTCATACACATAAAAATAAGAAATAAAATATTTAAAAACATATATATATTAAAAAAATTTTTTAAACAGTTTATGTATTTTGCCTTTTTCTCTGTTGAGGATTTTTATATGATATAAAATATATATGACAGACAGACAGACAGACAGACAGAAACAGAGTTCTGTAGTGCCCTGGCTGGAACTCACTATGTAGAACAGGCTGGCTTCAGACTCACAGAGATCTGCCTGTCTCTGCCTCCCCAGTGCCTGGGTCAAAGATGTGCCCCACCATGTCCATCTCTATTTCTCAATCACTCCTCTTTAAGTACTTTTTGCCATCCTGGCTTTTTAAAAAAGATTTATTTTATTTATTTTTAATATGTATATGTGTGTCTGTGTGTGTACACATAAGTGGTGGTGTCCACATAGGCCAGAGGCATCAAGCTATCTAGTATGGGTCCTGGGAACTGAACTCAGGTCCTCTGGAAAAGCAATATATGTTCTTTTTTTGTTTTTTGGGGGGGGGGTTTTGTCTTTTTGAGACAGGGTCTCCCTGTAGCCCCAGCTGGCCTGGACCTCACTGTGTAGACCAGGCTAGCCTTGAACTCACAGAGAGCTGCCTGCCTCTGCCTCCCAAGTGCTGGGACTAAAGGCGAGCACCACTGCGCCTGGCCAGCACATATTTATGCTCTTAACTGCTGCTCCATCTCTCTAGCCCTCCTGCTCCTAAATGTTTCTTAATGGTGTGTATGCATATGCTCTCTATGAATTTATGTACTTGTTCTGATGTTTCAGAGCTTCTGTGCTGATGTTACACTGGTTTCATACTGGATTTGAGCAGCTTCTGTGCTCTAGAAGACTTAGAATTGGTGTTATAATTCCCTTAGAATTTTGGTAGATATTACCAGTTGAACTTTGATCTTGTGGATTTTTTAGGGAAATTTCTTTGCCAATCCTTTTTGTTGTTCTTTTTATAACTGTCCTGCTTAGACCTTTTGCCACTTTTGGCATTGTTTTTTTTTTTTTTTTTTGTCTTTGTTTTTGTTTTTTTGAAGCAGGCTCTCCCTGTAGCCCCAGCTGCCCTGAACCTCACTATGTAGACCAGGCTGGCCTTGAACACAGAGATCCGCCTGCCTCTGCCTCCCAAGTGCTGGGACTACAGGTGTGTGCCACCACACCCAGCTTGGCATTAGTTTTGATGTTATATTTTTTTCAGAAACAAATTCTACTTAATCTTAGTTTTTAAATTAATTTTGATAAAGCTGACAAAATAATACCCAATTTTCTTTTTCTTTAAAATGTTACCACATATTCGTGTTCTAGGGTCTTTTTTTTTTTTAAATTTTTTAGAAGAAGCATTTCATTACAGCTTTAACGTACTCAATAACAGTTTCCAGAGCAAAGACACGTCTCTTTCAAAAGTGGCTATAAAATTTTTAGGTTCACTGTTGAAATAATACAGTTATACAATATTGAACTCAGTATAAACCCCAGGAGAGAGGCTGGCGGGTTGTGCGGCCCAGAGAAGCAGAGGGAGGTGAGCTTTTTTGGTATTTTTGAAACAGGGAACTCACAGATATCCACCTGCCTCTAATCGGTACAATTCCAATACTAACAGTGCTATGTGTTTCCCACTTACAGTGTTTTTGTTTCAGTGTTACTTCTTCCTCTTCTAATTAGGACTGCACTTTTTAACCCTGTCCTGTTTTCTCATTGCTTCTTCCTCCTGTGATTAAGCAACTACATTTTTACTTTTGGCTCTACACGAATAGATGTTACTTTCACTTTAAGAGATTTATTTGTGGGGCTGGCTCAGTGGTTAAGAACATTGGCTGTTCTTGCAGAAGACTCAGGTTCGAATCCCAGCACCCACATGGCAGCTAACAGCTATCCATAACTCCAGTTCCAGGGGATCTGACAGCCTCTTCTGACCTTTGCGGGCATTGCACGACCGGGTGTACTTACCTACATGTAGGCAGTGCACACATACACATAAAAATAATAAATAAAATTTAAAAAATTTTTTAAAAAGATTATTTTTATGTATATGTGTGTGTGTGCTTGCATGAGTTTATGTGTACCATGTGCATGTAGGAGCCTATGGAGGCCAGAACAGAGTACTGGATCCCTTGGAACTGGAGTTACAGGTGGTTATGAGCATCATGTGGGTGCTGGGAACCCAACCTGTATTGTCCGTAAGAACAGCCCATGCTCTTAACCATGGAGCCATCTCTCCAGTCTCCTGCTTCCATTTTTTAAATTCATGGCACTATGTGTTTAGTCAGAATTATCATCTATGTTTGCTTTTAGGTTGTATTTTTGCCCTCTTTACATCGTGTTTCTTTTTTTTCTCTTCGTAATAGTTTTTAATAGATCTGATTCCAACTCCTCATTTTTTGCTGAGAACAGATTTTCTTGATTTGCTTTTAAAAAAGATAAAGTTGGGGAAGGGAAAGAGTAATCTAGAGCTGACTTATGCCCAGCATGGTAGCTACTTATTTTTATAAATAAAGTTTTATTGACCCACAGCCACACTCAGTCCTTTAGATCTTGTCTGTAACTGTTTTCTTATTATAAGTGTAAAGTGGGATGATTATGACAAAGGCTATGCAGTCCACAAAACCTAAATATCTTACTACCTAGATTTATAGAAAAAAAATTGCCTATAGAAATGCATCTCTACACATTTTGAAACCTTAATTCTTCACCTTTGTATGTAAACATGTATGTTTAGACTTGCTTTCTTATTCAGACAAGAACTGTAGCTGCAAGTCTATGTAGTGTTCTCTGTGAGGACACACAGAAGGACACTCTCATCTCAACAGACTTCACCTGGGAAAGCTGTGTGGCAGTGTTTCCTTGTGTAGCCTGCCTTCTCTGTCTACCTTGCCAGCTACTGGCTTCCATCCGCTATGCAGACGGCCAACAGTCCTCTTGTGTTCAGCCCTCCCTTCATTCCCATCTGTCACGGGACATGGTTTCTCTAATTTGTAACTGATTTCTTAATTTACGTGCTAGGACTTGGACTTTGCCATCACTGTGAACACTTAGGTTTCAGCTTTGTAAATCCCCCTTTCACACAGTGGTCCTTCATCTTCTTTACAGCTGGTAAAATTACCTTTATGTCTTTCATTGTTATGCTTTCTTTTCTTCTGATTCATTTATGCCTCCTTCCCTCCCTCCCTCCTCCTCCTCCTCCCTCCTCCTCCTCCTTCCTTTCTCTCTCTCTCTCTCTCTCTCTCTCTCTCTCTCTCACCCTCCTCTCTCTCTCTCTCTCTCTCTCTCTCTCTCTCTCTCTCTCTCTCTCTCTTTCTCGTAGTTACTGTTTTGAGACAGGGTCTCATGTAGTCCAAACTAGCCTTGACCTTGCTTATGTAGCTGAGTTACTGCCTAGAACTCCTGAAATACCTGCCTCCACCTCCCAGGGCCTGAGAGTATGGGCATGGACTATAATGTCTGGCCATTTATTCAAGTTTATGTGTTCATTTTAGAATTTCCATACAGTGTTTATCCAAACACTAATTTCTAATTTTTCTCTAGATTTTTTTCTTATTTCTATGCAAGTATAGTTTTTTCTTCAATTACATTTCCTAAATAGTTGTTTATGTATATATGAAGGTTATTGAAATTAATATTATTTTCTTTTGTATCCCACATAAAACAGTTAAGGCTCATTGAATTCATAAATATTTTCTCATATTTCTTTTTCTGAAATTTCCTTATAAAAGCTGAAGAGATAAGAGGTATATGCACTTGAAATTTGTTTAATAATCAGAGCTCTGGCATTAAGAATCAGTACCATAACAGCATTCTTTTCAAATGAACTTGGTATTTCAATATTGGAAAAGAAATCACCAGTGATATTTATTTGCTATTTATTTTAGGAGAAAAATGGGGAATTGATGAACATCAGAAAACCCAGGACAGACTTTTGAGACAAGTTTTCAAGGAACCAATAGCTGAAGAAGCAAATGAATGTCCTAAGAAATTTGTAAAAGCATTTCCTCCAAACTCAGATTTTATTCCTTCTAGACACAATCTCTGTGAACATGATGGGCTTGGAAAGTGTTTAGAACATAATTTTGACTGTCATAATAATGTGAAAAGCCCAGTAAAAGAGGATCATTTTGAAAATGATGATGCTGTGAAATCATCTGACAATAGCACACCCCATTTTGTAGTGACCCCCTTTAAATGTAATCATTGTGGAAAAGGCTTTAGTCAAACATTGGACCTTATTAGACACCTGCGAATTCATACTGGAGGGAAACTCTATGAATGTAGAAAATGTGGAAAAGCTTTTAGCCACAAGGAAAAACTCATTAATCATCATAAACTTCATAGTAATGAACAGTGTTATGAATGTAATGAATGTGGGAAAACTTTCATTAAAATGTCAAATCTCATTAGACATCAAAGAATTCATACTGGAGAGAAACCCTATTCATGTAAGGAATGTGAGAAATCCTTCAGCCAGAAATCTAATCTCATTGACCATGAAAAAATTCATACTGGAGAGAAACCTTATGAATGTAATGAATGTGGAAAATCATTCACCCAGAAGCAAAGCCTCATTGCACATCAGAAAGTTCACACTGGGGAGAAACCTTATGCATGTAATGAATGTGGTAAAGCCTTCCCTCGAATTGCATCCCTTGCTCTTCACATGAGAAGTCATACAGGAGAAAAACCTTACAAATGTGATAAATGTGGAAAAGCCTTTTCCCAGTTTTCCATGCTTATTATACATGTGAGAATCCATACAGGTGAGAAACCTTATGAATGCAACGAGTGTGGAAAAGCCTTCTCTCAAAGCTCGGCACTAACCGTACATATGAGAAGTCACACAGGTGAAAAGCCCTATGAATGTAAGGAATGTAGAAAATCCTTCAGCCATAAGAAAAACTTCATCACACATCAGAAAATTCATACTAGAGAGAAACCTTATGGATGTAATGAATGTGGTAAAGCTTTTATTCAGATGTCAAATCTTGTTAGACACCAGAGAATTCATACCGGAGAAAAACCTTATATATGTAAGGAATGTGGCAAAGCTTTTAGCCAGAAGTCAAATCTCATCGCTCATGAAAAAATTCATTCTGGAGAAAAACCCTTTGAATGTAATGAATGTGGTAAAGCCTTCAGCCAGAAGCAAAACTTTATTACACATCAGAAAGTTCATACTGGAGAGAAACCTTATGACTGTAATAAATGTGGTAAAGCCTTTTCTCAGATCGCATCCCTTACTCTTCATTTGAGAAGTCACACAGGGGAAAAGCCTTATGAATGTGATAAGTGTGGGAAAGCCTTCTCTCAGTGCTCATTGCTTAACTTACATATGAGAAGTCATACGGGTGAGAAGCCTTATGTGTGTAATGAATGTGGAAAAGCGTTCTCTCAAAGAACTTCCCTTATTGTGCATATGAGAGGTCATACTGGTGAGAAACCCTATGAATGTAATAAATGTGGAAAAGCCTTCTCCCAGAGCTCATCCCTTACGATACACATACGAGGTCATACAGGCGAGAAACCCTTCGACTGTAGCAAATGTGGAAAAGCCTTCTCTCAGATCTCATCCCTTACTCTTCATATGAGGAAACATACAGGAGAAAAGCCCTATAACTGTATCGAGTGTGGCAAAGCTTTCAGCCAAAAGTCACATCTTGTCAGACACCAGAGAATCCATACTCACTAGCAGCCCTGTGAACATTGTGAATATGGGGAATGCCTTCTGAAGGAATTAACCCCTCATAGCACACTACTTGATCAGTTCTAGAGCAGAAAATTCTGAGTAGGAAAGCTTTGCAAAGAAGCCACACATTAGTTCTTACTGAGATGACCTCATTGAATAAGAAACCTGACCATCAGAACTTTGGGCACTTCATTGTTATCTAATCAGTATTCACATTCAAATCTGGAAGAAAATTCTTGCTGCATATCAACATACTTGAGCTCCTTGCCAATGTATTAAGCAAGAAAAAGATTGGGAAAAAAGAATGATAACTTTTTATACATAATATGAGATGCTCAAACCCAAAACAAGTGATTTTAAAGAAATAAGGAATTTGTCAATAGGAAAATCTAAGAATTATGTAACATATCTACAAAGTTATAAAACATGTTGCCAGTCACAAAAGTACACCTCAAAAATAAAATTAAATGTGAAAAGACTTGAAAGTATAAAAATAGTTCTCTGATTTTTCTAAGTTTAATATAATTCTCAAATTTATACATCAGTTGTAAAGAGTTTCATGCACCAATTCAGTTTCTGTATGGTAAGGCAAAGGACCACAAGTAGCTCGGGAAAAAAAGTGGACAGCAAAACAGCCAGAGAAGATGCACAGTATTAGATGTCATTACATATTTCATTTAAAGCTCTTTCCATTTAAACTCTGTTATTGTGTGAATAAACAAAACATTGGAAACAAATTGAGGATTAACATAAAACTCCAAGGGGATCTGGCAGTTTTACGTATGGTAGTGCTACTGAAGTGATTGTGGTAAGGTTAGCCTATTCAGTAAGTGGAAGTCAGCCAAACATGTTAGCTCTTAACCTTATATATAAAAGTAAAGTACACGGGTCTGGTGAGATGGCTCAGCTGGAAGGACACTCGCTGCCCTGCCTGACACCTGAGTTTGAGCCTCAGAAGCCACATGGTAAAAAGAGAACTGACTACTGCAAGTTGTCCTCTGACCTGCACTGGCACACTGCAACACTCTTGCGCCCACACTCATACACACATTTGTATTTATATACCAATATATAAATACTGTAAAAAAAATCCAACTATAAAATAAAATTCTAAAACCATGATGAAAATATATTGCTTTAGAGTAAAAGGATTTCTTTAAAAATATACAAATATGGAACCGTTTCTTTTGGTGTATTGGCCTCAGAAACACCCATAAATATGTGTGCAAAGAGATATTTGTCAGTATGTTCCCCAAATCATGGATCATGGTTTGCTTTGTTCTGAATTGGATATAGCATTTCCATCAACACAGGCAGATCAATATGCTTACTTATATGATAGAATACCATGCAGTATTTAGAATATATGAAATCCACACAGTTACCTGGATAGATCAGAACATTTTAACAAAAAATGCAGAGTAAAACATGGTATGATATTTGTAACTTAATAAAAACTGTGAAGAACAGTACTTATATTGCTCCTGGGTCCATTTATGACATTGGTTGCCTTGGAATGTAGAAGGGTTTTATGGGAGTTGTTATGATTTGTAGCATTTCTTTAATAAAACAACAAAAGCAAATATGACCATGGTAACAAGTATGGTTGTCAAAATTAGCTACAAACTTTTAAAGTTTCTTGTCTTGAGTTGCCTGTTTTTCTAAAGAGGCAAATGGGTTGAGGAAACATGGGCTTATAGAAACAATTTAAAAATAACATGTTATAGTTAATCTCCTTTACACAAACAACTTGACTTAAGATACTCTGTTTACTCTGTAATGCTTGGATATTTCCCCCAAAGACTCATGTTGAGTGCCTGGTCCCCAAAACAACAATGTTCAGAGGTGATTTGATCACGAGGACTCTTAGTCTCATCAGTGGCTTAACCCATTGATGGATTCTTAGCTGACATTGGGAGATAGAAACTGTACAAAGTAACACCTAGTTGGAGGAAGTAGGTCACTGGGGACATTCATTCAAAGGGTATGTATTGTACCTGATTCCTTTGTTTTCTGGTCACCACAAGGTAAGCAGCCTTTTCCTCCACATTCTCCCCACTGTGAGGTTCTGTCTCACTTCACCATGGCCCCCAAACCAAGAAACCAAGGGTTGAAACCTCAGAAATTATGATGTAAAAAATTTTTTTCACTTATTAAGCAGGTTTTCAGACATTTTTTTGTCACAGCAACAAAAACTAACACTCTATAATATTAACTAGAATAATGACAATCAGGGGGCTAGAGAGATGGCTCAGCAGTTAAGAGCACTGGCTGCTCTTGCAGAGGACCCAGGTTTGATTCCCAGCACCCACATGGTGACTAACAGCTATTCGTAACCCTAGTTCCAGGTGATCCAATACTCTCTTCTCTCTTCTGATATCCATGGGCATTGCACTACACAGGTGCACTTAACACACATGCAGGCAATACACTTGTACATATAAAAATAAGATATTAAGAGTAATGAAAATTAGCAGTATAAAACATTTGAGGCCAGTTTTAACTTTTTAAAAAATTATTTATTTAGGTCTTGAGACTGGGTCTCCCTGTAGCCCCAGCTGGCCTGGACTTCAGACATCTGCCTGCCCCTCCCTCCTGAGTGCTGGGATTAAAGGCGTGTGTCACCATGTCAGGCCTAAAATTTTAAAATATTTTATCTTAAACATAAGTTCTTTGCATGGTTGAAAGAAGTGGAGAAACAAGACTTGCCTAAGTGTTGGAATAACTGACAAGTTTCGATATATCTCAGCAAACCTTTTTTTTTTTGAGAGAGGGTTTCCCTGTAGCCCCAGCTGTCCTGGAGTCACTATGGAGACCAGGCTGGCCTTGAACTCACAGAGATCCACCTGCTCTGCCTCCTGAGTGCTGGGATTAAAGTTGTGCGCCACCACACCCTGCTTTTTTTTTTTTTAATGAACCATTCTTTTTTGTTGTTACTGGTTTTGCAGGGGAGGATGTTGAGAGCCTCATTCTGTAGCCTAGGCTGGCCTCAAATGTAGCAATCCTACTGCCTCCACCTTTTGAGTGCTAGGATTATAGGCAGGCATGTGCCACCATACCGTGTGGTTTCTGGATCCATAAATGGAGGTGCTTATCTTGGAGATTTTATGTGTGCCAGGCCGGGTGGGTATAAAATGCTCACTTCTTGCTGTTTTAGTTTCACTCTGCTGTAGAGCATTCAATGTGCTTTGTAGCTCAGGCATTGCAAGAGAAGACTCTGGTTTTGGTTTTCATGGACCTCAGCTCTGTAAGTTTTCTCTCAGGTCAGACACCAACATAGTCATGTCATTAATGCCATGCTTAGCTAGGACTTTGAAGCCTTAAGTCTGAAATGAAGGCAGATGCTTTTCTTTCCCCACTTTGTTTAGCACAGGAAGAACCTTCATTCTCATGACGTGACTCATTGGTTTGACCAAAATGTGCTATATATAATATAATTAATATAATATAAATATAAGGTCATTCAGAAACTTGCCTTTTAAAAGATATTTAGGCTTGGGCTGGAGAACTAGCTCAGCAGTTAAGAGCACTGGCTGTTCTTGCAGAAGACCCAGGTTGATTCCCAGCACCCACATGGCAGCTAACAACCATCTGTAACCCCAGTACCAGGATATCCAATGCCCTCTTCTATCCTCCTTGGGCATTGCATGACACGGGTGCACTAATACACATGCAGGCAATATACTCATACACATAAAAAAAAATATCTAGGAATATCAATGGTGATATTTGTGTAACTTTTTTCACATCATTCTCTGGGCTACTCGTGCCTTCTATATCATTGGAAACGGTCACTATTGCCTTTAAATCAGATTAGAGAACCACTTAAGAGAATTCTACATTTTTTTTTTTCAGACTTTGTTCCTCTAAACCATTCTTGGTTCCAGAATCTTTTTATCAGTCAGGATTTTCCAATAGGAGATTCATTCATTCATTCATTCATTCATTCATTCATATATATTGTAATTACATTAAAATATCTTTATTTTTTGTTATAAAAAATTATTTTATGTGTATGAGTGCATTGTCTCTATGTGTTTAAGTGCACCTGCACCATGCACTGCCCACAGAGGTCAGAAGAGGGTGTCAGATCCCTTGGAACTGGGATTATGAACAGTTGTTAGCTGCCATGTGGGTGTTGGGAATCAAACTCAGGTCCTCTTCAAGAACAGCCAGTGCTCTTAACCACTAAGCCATCTCTCCAGCTCCTCCATATTATATATTAAAATTATATGTAATATATATTATCTAGCATGTAGCCCAAGAGGGTACCCCATATTTTATACGATTTTAGCATATAATCTTAAATATTTATTTTTATTTTATGTGTATGAGTATATTGCCTGCATGTATGTGAGTGCACCCGTGTCGTGCAGTGCTGCAGAGTCAAAAGAGAGCATCAGATTCCTGTAGGAAACCAGTATGCCAGGCCCTAGGGTGAGGTGAGCCTAAATCTTATAGTTCCAGGATGCATTCTCTGCTAAAGGGAGGGGCACTGAAAACAGTGGCTCTGATAATCCCTGTCTTGCAGAACACTGCTACACTGGCAGGAGGAAGCAGCCTGGTCAAAAAAGTGCAGGCTCCCTGCTCTGTGGGAAAGCATCTTGGTCAACAACCCTTAGCTCATCTCCTTGTCCTGAACAAATAGCTATCCCTGGCTAAGAGATTAGGCCAGGTTAAAGGTTTACTCCTGAGCTAAAAGCTAAAAGTTCACCATGCTTTTAGCTCTAAGAAAGAAAACATTGTGGCCAATAAATTACTGGATGGGCATTGATAACCTTGAGTAAAAGTTTAAGAATCCTTCTGGCACCAACTAACAGACTAAATGTCCTGTTTCTTTGTACCCTAAATCTTTGTATGTGACATCCCACGTGACTGCTAGTTCCTTGGGATGTATAAAAACCATCTGAATTTTAAAATAAATTGGCCTGTTGGGAAGACACAGGTCCCAGAGTTTGACTCTGTCACCAATCAGACCCTCTGCCCCAAGCCAGCAGGTCCCCCACTAAGAAAAGCAAACCTGAGTCCCAACAACTCGCACCTGAAACAGGGACCTTCTCGGACCTCTGCTTCGCTGCGGACAGAGAAATCCTCCCCCCTTCAGCTGATCAGATCCCCTTGTCACGCTGGTTCGTAGGTAAGGGGCAATTGTAAATATGGGCAATTCTCTCTCTCCAGACCGGTCTCACTTCCAATCTATTCTTAAATGCATGCTAAAGTCTAGAGGAATTAAATGTACAGAAACGCAGATTAAGGCCTTTTTAGATATTACTATAGAATGTAATCCTTGGTTTCCTGCTAAGGGAACTATTGACTTAGAATCTTGGAAAAGAGTAGGAGATAATGTACAGAATTATCAAAAGCAGGGAAAGACTGTTCCTGTCTTCTATTTCCCTCTCTCTCTGGTCTGCTCTTTGCTAGTGTCTCCAAATAGAAGAGGAACCCCCTCCATTTTCAATCCAGCCACCTCCACCTCTGCTCCCCCCCCACCAGTCCTCCCTCCACAACAGCCCAACAGCAGGAACCTTCTCAGGCTGCTACTCAGCTGCTGGCACCTCCTCTGGGTGCTGTGAAGCTGCCAGCGCTCCCTCCTGCTATGGCACAG